TCTTGAGGCAGCAATTTTTTAATTTACAAGGAGTGCAGGATTTGACATTTACGGTCGCTGCTGAGAATGGAGATAAAGATCACTGAATAAAGGCTTGAATTTGGGTCTGTTCCTCACAATTACAGAACACAAATAGTGTGATAGAGTGATTGAGTGATTTGTGAATTTATGTTGCATTCTGGTGCATTTTATGGTTTTATACTATACTGAGAAAATGCCCTGTTAAAAAAAAAATGATTCATGATACATAATGGTTAAACGATTACAGAAATGCTATTCGTTTTAAGGTTTTAAAGTGTAGTGTTGTTTAACATTATGTAAATCATTCGAAACAAGTTTGCAGCAGAGGTTACACAGAACAGAACAAAATGTTATCATTTCATATTAAATAGATGAGTAAACTGCGTTTAATAAATGTGACTGAAAACATAATACCATTGCTATGACAGTTAAATACAATAGAATCATAATGCCACTATTTTCATATTCATAAATCAGGATCCATACACATTTGTACATCTGTAAAGTTAATTAATGTGTTTGAAAGACAAAAGACTTCCAAAGACAGTTGATAAGATATGCAATGTTGAGAAAACACTTGATTTCTGTAAATCCAGTGATCAAATGCTGGGTGGATCTCAGTTTTCAGCTGAAAGGCGCATGACTAGTGGCTGGTCTGTGTGTGCAATTCCACAAACCTGGAAGATCTTCTGAACGTACGAATATAAGCTGCAGGCCTTTTAGAAAGGAACATTTAAAGAATAAATAGTAGAGAGAATCAATGAATTATTAATAATTTACTGCAGTTGTGAGAATAACATGTAAACATGTTATTAATAAAAAAGGAACTCTTTTTTTTGTTGTTGAGTATTTTCAAATGTAATATAATTACAATTACTTAATTTTTGGGATCTGATTACATGTAATCAGTTATGTGATAAAACCACCCTTTACATTAAACTAAAAAAACATCCAAATACTTATGAGATCACGTTGGAGTGGCAGACAGTTATCTTTCACCCAAAACATGGACAAGTAAATATACACAGAGACACACACATTTGTAGCCAGCACACAGCTTGGAGCATATCTTTTTATTTATTTATTTATTTGTTCTTCCCCTGTGCTGTTTCTTTCCAATGGCGTCTTCCCACTAGGTTAAAAGACAACAGACCTATAAACCATCCTACATCACCCTCGCCTTTGTTTCTCTCTCTTTCCCTCCCTCCCTCAAACTCTCTCTCGAGTTTTGACAGCCTTGCCTTTATGTTCAGTCAAGCTTTCAAGCCTTAGGGAGAAACGGAGGCCGAGCAAGAGCAGCCCCCTCATCTGCCACCCCTCCCTCTGTAGCGAACAACAGCAAATCTCAACAATCTTTATTACAACTGCTTTATTCATGCTGTTGACACAGGCAATATCAGTGTATGGCCAGTGGACCATGACATCACAGCCTCGCCTGTGAAGGCCATCTGAACCTTGTATAAGCTGTGCGTCTTTCCTCTTTTTGTCCTTAACCCCTCCCGCTCTCTCTTGTCGTCTGCGTATGCCACATCCCAGCTCTGCTTTGATAGAAACAGGTCATGTGGGACCTTTTACATAGCGGGGTGAAATTGCCATAGATGCTGTGTGACACGGACTGTCTTTCCTGCGGGCAGAGGAATGTGCTTCATGAATTTATGTTCCTTTTGTCTCATCGTTGTGACCCTACTGGCTTTCTTATCATAAACTCTAACCTTTTCATGACATCTGGTACAGCTGGAGTTATAACTGCAGCCAGAAAGAACAAAACTGACACAACTGAGTGAGCTGCTCATCTAATGGAATAGATAGTAAATGGCAACAAAAATATCAACCTTATGCACATCCAAGTGAAACGTGCTATTGTGAAGAAAAAAAAAGGTAGGGTGGAGACTCGGCTCTGTTCATCGGTTGTCGATTGGATGGAGGCAGATCTGAATTGATTGTAAGAAAGGAACTGGATTTAAGTGGACTTAAATTATTGGAGAAGTTATGACAGTGATTAAAAATAACAAGTTGAAAAAATTAAACATGCAATGCTGAATCGTTCACAATGAGAACATTCAGATGCATTTCAAAAATAGGGTGAATTTCCATTTAATGTCGACTTTAATTGTGATATTGTGATAACAGAAAACTTAAATAATATGATTCCCATTGTTAAATTGTAAATGTATCATTTAATCCAGTATATTAAGAAATATATGATGGGTAACATCCCATACTAGTGGAATAACAGAAAAAAAAGAAAAGGTGTCCTGGCTAAGGCATAATTTTATATTTGTACATGAACATAAATAACACCTGAATATATTGACCTGTTTCTACACCCTCACAGTGATGTAGCTAATGGCGTATTGATTTGCATCACGGCATTTGCACCCTTTCAACTGAGTTCTAGATACACATTCACACCTTCTCTAATACATGCTTCAGGCTTTCCTCCATATATTGAAACTTCCTAATTCTGATGCCAAAGTTTCATTTGTTTATTTATTCACTCACATTTATTTTATTGAGAAAGTAGATAAAAAACAGCTTGTTTAGCCTTTTAGCATAGTGGATTGGTTAATCTAGTTTTATAGCATATTATGGCACTTTAAAATGCTGTTTCGGTGCAAAAAACATATATATTCCGTGCTTAAGTTAAGTCACTATCGTTCTTTCTATGATATATTGGGATTTATTTGGAAATATCTGTGATGTTTGCCTGCTGCAATTTACCCGGCACTGTTACAACCTGTGGAAGTTTAAAAGAATGGTTTGTATACATTTTCATCATTGCAGTAGTAATTTGTTACAAATGATTGCGAAATGTTATAACCATGGATATACCCAGGTAGTGAAGGACACTTCTGGCATTTAAAGAGCCGATATAGGGGCTTACATCACAGTGGATGCAAATTTTTGGGGCTGTTTTGTCTAATTTGTTTGTGCTATTACCTGATTTGAATAAATCGTGCGCAAATAAACAAAGCTATCAGTTGGCAATTCATGAATTCCCCTCGAAAGCCTGAATTTTGATCAGCATGGTGAAGTCCGCATACTGATAGCTACTGGCAGTCTGTTCAGATTTGCAGTCTAATTAAAAACATTGGGGCAGCTCATTTATTTGAGCCGTCACTAGAGAAATATTCAGCAGTGCTGCCAGAGCGTATTAGGGTCGGTGGTGTGCGTTCACTCCATCACACTGCGCTGGGGTATGGGGATAACCCTGATGAACGACACTGTCATGAGACCCTATTGTACTGGAGAGCCTCCGACGGTAATTTACTGCCGTAAACAACACGAGGGGCTCGCACGAACACACACTCATATACATGCACACACATTTACACATTCACATAGAAACACACTCTCACTCACGCACACTCTGAGCTATGACAGAGATGTTTTTTATCCCGCTCACCCTTTTCTTTCTTTAATGAGGGTCCTGTTATTACCGCAATCTATCAGTTAAATCGCGCAATGTTTAATTCAGTATGTGTTCTCACCGTAGTTGCCACAAGAGAGCAGACCGTGTGTCATTGTCAGCCCAGGGCTGCATTCCACTTTCACACACACACACACACACACACACACAGACAGACACACACACGGATTGCATTTGAGTCCATGCAGCATGAGTCTATTACATTTCAGTGGCAATTATTACAAGCTTTAATGATTTACAATCAAATGTTGATTAAACCGTGCTCCTTTTTAAATCCCAATTCAATCCAAGACATCACTATTATATTAGAATTAGTGGAATATAATTAACCTCTATTTTTAAATGAGACCCACAGCCATTGGCCTTGTTGCACACTGGTAAATCTCACATAAATGCCGGCACACATGGACACTTCTGCACAGTGGAGCATTAAAAGATACAACCGCAGGTTTCACACCCATGTTGTCCTAGCACCATTGTGATCAATAGAAAAACAGCTGAGGGCCCTCATTATAGAGCTATGATATGAGAAAGAGATTGAGATGGTCAATCTGTCCTGCCCACTCTCATTTCAAGGAGCTTCATCATTCCGTTACTATTGATCAAACTAAGAAATGAGAGACGGACAGAGAGCTGCAGTCATTTTCAAGAGTAATAAAGACTCAGCAGGGTAATAACAAAACATATAAATGAGCATTTAAATAATGGCCTGCTTCCATACGCTGGGTTTCTTCAGATCAATAATAAATTAAAGCAGCTAATCAATACTTTTGATACAACCCGATGCAGGACAGGATTATATTAGTATTAGTCATATAAGAATGCCACATATGAACTTCCTCATGAACTCCCTTACCTTACTCTGAAAATAACTTTTATTATTTGTACCAATAATGTACAAATGTACACTTACTTTTCAAAATTAATTATTTAGCAAGGATGCATAAAATTACGCAGATTTTTTTTCTTTCTATTTCTGAAAGAATCCAGATTTTTTTTTTTTTATCACTGTTTACACAAAAATATTAAGCAGTACATCCATATTCAACATTAAAAATAATAAGAAATGTTTCCCGAGAGCCAGATCAGCGAGTAATTTCCAAAGGATCATGTGACACTGACGCAATTTTGCTTTGCCCTCAATGGAAGTGTAAATGGGCACAATTATTTTAGTCACTTTATTTTGAGGTTTCTTTGTTAGTGTAATTATGCAGCTAAGTATAACTGAGTAATACTTATTAGCAACATGTATTTACTATAGAGTTAGGATTAGGGTTTAGTTTGGATTAGTTGCTTGTAATTATCCATCATTTACTGTTAGTAATATAGTAAATATAGGTCATGTGTAAAGGTTGATATAGGTAATTATTCACAGCTTCACACAGATATTGATCTTTAAAATAACCTATTATTTATTAATATATTATTGATTAAACTTAACAGCTGCAGTAAATTAATTTACATAAATTATTGTCATTATTAAATCATTATTTTACTTACTTCACAGTATATTGCTTTGTTTCTTGAATGTTGTCTTTTCTCATTACAGCCCATTGGTGCACTCAACCCAAAGAGAGCTGCATTCTTCTCAGAACGTTTTGAATCATGGGAGGACGATCAGGTGCCCAAATTCCACTACGGCACACACTATTCCACCTCCAGCTTTACTCAGATGTGGCTACTCAGGACTGTAAGTTGTGCACACACACACACTATCTTTGTGGGGACTTTCCATAGACGTAATGTCTTTTATACTGTACAAACTGTATACCTAACACCAAACCGCACAAAACAAAATGCTCCAGTACCAGTTTTTAAATCTTTTTTTATAGCATCAGAGAGCCAAAAGCCTGTCAGTGTCCCATTTGTCAGTGCATTATTTGACTTCCTTTAACGTTTCTTTTTTTCATAATCTGTTTGTGTAGGACGAATAAATGGGACATGATCATAATCGTCCAAATGATTTGCCACGTTTAAAGGGTTTTAAAACAGACAGCGACTCTGTGCTCTTCATGCTGCAGTAAAATGCTAAACATTCATCATGTGATTGGTTGTGAAACACATTGCAACTAATTGTTGTTTATAATTGGGCATGTGTGTGTGCTCAGTCAGGTTGATTTATTGTTATATTGAAATGTAGGCCTTATCTGCATACTAACAAACTCAGAACACATCGCTCATCTTCCCTTCATCCTTTTTGTTCTAATATCTGCAAAGAACAAAGACATGACACTCGGTGGGAAAAAATACTTCATGGTTTATAACAATATTTTGAGCAAGCATAGTTTAGTACAATAAAAGCAGTTCTATATTAGTTTTACAGTAATGAAGTCCCATAATCTTCTACAACTCTCAAAGCCTTTGTATAGTGTCAGTTACTCTTCATTTAAATGATGCCTGTGTTTTATTTTTCACATTTATTTTTAATGTATAGTCTATTCACATATTCCTTATAAATTCTGCACACAAAGAGAGAGGGCTAGAGGTCACTAACCCATTTCTGGCCATCTCTGTAATTGTTACAGTTTTTCACTTTCATTGCCATTCCCTGTTGGCCCATTGTATTGATCCCATCTCATTATTATAAGGCTTATCCCAAATCCACTTCACCAAACACCCTAATTCATGTACCACAGCACAAATCAGCAACCTCGTGATATCGAGGCTCTTGACAGAGAAAAGGAGGGCGTTAAATTCAGTCAAGCACCCAAAAGCGTCTGCGTAATTAGGATATTTTTCTTTCATGGTGTAGCCTACCAGGGTGCTATTCACTCTAATTGCATCCTTCTCATCGGGGAGGTATTGTTTCAAAAGAACCACCTATTGATTCTGCACAAACAAGATTAAGCATGATTAGAAAAGAACAAATAATGCACTTGTAAAGGTTTTACTGTCTGCCCGGGGTTAATAACAGGTTTCTTTAGCATTCAGGTCCTTTTTTTGGAGAGGAGGATGTCATTTAGTGCACACAAATTAGGATCATATTGTATAGGGCTTTGTTATGAACAGCAGGAATCTATACTAAATAGGAGATACTGACTGGGTTGCACATTGAAAAATGTTCAAATTGGAGGCTAAATATTGATCAAAGTAGACTCGTAGTTATTAAATACATGATCTTTGTTCAGTGGAATTTGCCCTGTAGTTGTTTTTAGGCCCTAACATGAGTTTTTAATACTCGTTTTAGCATTAATGTGTGTGGAAAGTACAATTTTTTTTTTCTTTTCTCTTATTCTCAGGAGCCTTTCACAACATTCTTCCTGAATTTCCAAGGTGGGAAATTTGACCATGCAGATCGCACTTTCTCCTCAGTGTCCAGAGCCTGGAGAAACTGCCAGAGGGACACATCTGACGTGAAGGTACGTCCATGTATGTGCATGTCGACGCACATGCATACAGTATGGATGAATTGTCATATTACCATAGAAATGCTTCATATTTTTACTTTAAGTGTAATTTTATTGTTAACTCATACACATGCACAAAGCTGTGCTTATTTCTTCTCAGCCGGGGATCAGCCGGTCCCTGGCCTGGATTTGGTTTTCGTCTTCCACTGATATTTTGTTTTTCACAAATGTGGAGACTATTACATGATTAGACGTTTCTCTAGTGAGTTGACTTCCTCTTGGTAACCGGAGCTTGCTGGGACTTGGTGTGAGGGCAGTCGTCATGGAGACACTGCAGCTCTCTGCCCGGCTGCCCCCATCACCTCTCCATAAAAACTGGCCCTAGCACATGTACGGTCACAAGCAATCCTTGTCATGCTACCATGAAAGCGTCAAGGGTCCTTGATCAAAGCTTTAAACTAATCTTGAATTCGAACTTCCCCCCCTTTCCTCCCTTACACTCTCCCTTGCGAAACCCTTCATAACACTTTAACCCTCAGCTGAACCTTTTGTCGTTCGGCCCCAAACCAAAGTCAGACAGCAATCCCAACTGTGCTCTGTAGCCCCTCAGAGGACCTCAAAGTGCTCTGCATTGACTTCAGCAAATGTCCAGACCTCTTGAAATATTCATTACAACAGACAGCCATTTTGTTTGCACGCTCGTTGCATGCTGGCCTTTTTTTCGGGGGCTGATTGCACCCATTTGATAAAAAGACATGTGGCTCACATTACATGGTCACACTTGATATCGAAAGCTTACTCAAAACCCAGTTTGGTTTCTGCGTAAGGTTGTCACTGTGGATCAGCGTAACAGGATTGGCACACATAAAAACTGAGCTAAGGACTTGACTAAAAACCTCGAAATCACCACCAGTTTATTTGACTTTGAAGCTGTGGAACATTTCAAACATGCTTTACTTTGCTCAATCTTGCAAAAAAGGTCTGATAAGTGCAAATGTGAAGCAAAGGGCCTTTTAATTGAATAATGTATCAATTTGCCATGCTGTTATCCCTTTTTCTTAAAAAAAAAAAAAAAGCACAGCAGTCCCCCACATTTAGAAACACCCCCTCATTCTACTAAGGGGTGAAAAGCCTTTAGCAGTTTTTGTGTCCAGGCTAAAGAGAGCTATAATGGCGTAAAGCCATGATCCTGTCTGTCTCTAGCCAGGCAAACTCTGGCCTGACCTTTAACCTCCATCCCTTGACCCCCGTGCACTAGGCTGAAAGCAATGCGGACACTGAAAGTTTCTCCTCAGGGGAATCAGAGAGGACCTAAGAGGGGGCCCAGGGGCACCCTTCTCTATTGACCCACAGCAGGACAGGATTTTGGATCACAGGTTTTGCCCTCTGACCAGTTCTGCTCAAGGGCCATTGCACATAATAGCACCTCCCGTACCCCCAATCTCGCTCTCTCTCTCCCCCACCACTGGTTAAGTGGCTTTGGGTCTTTGTGCCGCCAGTGAAGACGCCAAATTTACGCCAGACTCCATACATGAACCTTAGAGCGCCTGGTGCCATTGTAAAATTGTGACCTTTTTGTTTTAAAGACTTCAGTTTTAAAGAGAGGACCAAAAAGAAGCAAGGCAGGAGGCTAGTTTTGAACTTCCACCATTTGTTTGCTCAGCTAATTGGCCACTAGAAATGCACTGAGGAGCTGTGTTGTATATACATAGGATTCAAATTAAGGGTCTCTATCTGTATTATGTTATATTAAATATGTATAGTTAGGGGCCAAGCACCGACGATGCGGAGGCACCTATTGTAATCGTTGGCGTTCTTATTATTATTATTATTATTATTATTATTCCGCTCTGAGAGTCTATGACAGCCCATAGAACCGCTTGCGGGAAAGTTATGTAATTTGGCACACAGATAGAGGATAGTCTGAACTGTCACCATAGCAAATTTGGAGTCTCTAACCCAATTCCTCTAGCGCCACCAACTGTCCAAAGTTTCATTCATGTTTATGCTAATAACTTTTGAACCATTAGGGCTAGAAATTCTTTCCGTCATAAAAAACCTACTTTTTCGGACGTTGCTCCGATACGTAAATTGAACCAGATAATCTCACACCAAAACAAAAAATGGCTATTTTTGCTTATAACTTTTGAACAGTTTGTCCAAAAATCATAAAATTTTCAAACATTGTCTCGTTAGATTCAGGGCGTCATGCTGAGTCGACTGATATCCAATTTTTCCATATCGACAATTTTAGGCGTCGGCCATTTAGAATTTTGTACCAAAATGCTGTATTTTATGAACGTATCGTTACGAAACTCGGTATGGGTCATCAGTACGATGCCCTGAAGGAGCCTGAGAAGTTTCGAACCAGCGCCACCTAGTGGTAAAATAAAATTTTCAAATGCTTCTAACTCTAGGTGTGGTTGACTTATTTTCACGGGAGTCATCTCCTTAGATTTCTGAATACTTGCCGAGTTCAACTATACCAAACATATTAGGTTTCGCCTTACGGTTTGTGTAGCGTTGTGATTTAGCGCTTAAAAAACATTTGCCAATATCTTCGAAACCGCTAGACCGATCGAGACAAAACCACCATAGGAAGTTCGGAAACATAGGTTGTTGGCCATATGTTAATGCCCTAATGTCAAAATATTAATAGTAAGTGGCAAGAAAATGCAAACAAAGTCAGGTGTGGGTCACTGTTTATGTGTTTATACATATAAATGTCTATAACTCCAAAACGAAATGAGATATTTTCACCAAATTTGACACACACATGTATGGGCTCACTCTGAGGACACATAAAAACAACAGTGGGACTGTGCCACTTGTTGGCACTATAATAGACCAAAATATGAAATTGCCTTTGACTTCAATACAGTATTGTAATATAAAATGCTATACTTTATGAATGCATTAACACATCGTTACGAAACTCTGTATGAGTCATCGGTACCATGCCTTGAAGGTACTCAAAAAGTTTCGGGCAGCACCACCTTGTGGTAAAAAGGTTATAACAATTTCCAAAAATGCTAATAACTTTTGAATAAATTTGCCTATTGGAATGACACTGGTCTTAATAGATTCCTTGGGTTATGCCGAAAACATAGATACCAATTTTGCTATAGGCAGCCAAACTTTCTGTCTATGGAAGTAAAATAATGACAAATGTTTTTGAAACAAAAAAGCTTGTTGAATTGCACTACTTGAAAAATTATGCATTGCATTAACCCTTCTTGTATTTTAACGCATTGTATTTTTAGGGCTTGCATTTTTTCAACATTCAAAATTCAACATGGTTGTATATTTAAGCTGTGAATATCTCAATTCAAAACATTTCACACGCGTTTTCATTATTAAAAATTCAATAATCCATATTCACCTTTCAGATTTCACTTCCAAAAACACAACCTATAATATTCAACAGGCAATTTTCGGTCCATTTTATTTCGCTTTACAAATTCGCTATCACAAATTCAGTGGTTCAAATTCGACAGAAAATTCAACATTTGACATCCGGGAATGGCAGGAATATCAGTAGATTGCCGATTGATAATCTCCATAGCTGTTAGTCGTCCTCACCAGCAGGAGGTGCAAGCGGCTGTTGACGAAGAAAAATATAGAGCAACGGGTGAGAGACTCATTCATTCATAAAAACGGATTTACAGAAATGGAGCAAGCGGTAATTATGTGTGATGATTATCAGGGCCAGTATATGGAAAAGCTGATAAAGACATAAAAGCTGTGTTTACATTGAAGTCTTCGCTGTTACTTTTGTCCGTCATCTTTATTTTCTTTTAAAACCTTGAACTTCTCCTAGACCGTTTGTCCGATGTTCACCAAAATCGAATCGTATCACCTCTAGACCGTGCCGACAAAATGTTACGGATTTTGTGTCGATAGACGAAACCGTTTTCTTATACTGCAGCAGCAAAGTTGAGTCATGATGCCAAAGTGACTATTCAGGCTTTATCTCTGCAATGCATTGACACATTGACACCAAACTTTGAATGTGTCATTGTCACCTCACTCTGACCACACCACATCAATTTCATAACTGCGCCACCTATTGGTCGAAAGTGACAAATCATTAAATCATATTATTAGACTGTATATATATGATTTTTTCATTTTGCCTAAAATCATCTTAAAATGTCTTTAATTTCTCATTGTTGCAGTTGGTCTGAGACGCCCTGACATGTTGGCTTTGTCCTGTTGGTTTGTTGTCTTCTTTGTGCTTGGCCCCGATAATGGCTGCTTGCAGCTATATTTTAATTTGTTCTTATAAGAATGTTTAAATGTAGGCCTAAAATGTTATTCTTTTACATTGAAACATTAAGCATGTGGTTATGCTAACCTTTGCATGGACCCATCATAGAAAACAGTAGATTCAGTAGGTTCAGATACCAGTCTGTGATACAGAGTGTGTGATAGACTGTCAGTTAGATGGTTCTCCCAGGGGACTCGTGTTTCTGCAGAGCAAGAGCTTGTTTATCTTCCTAGTACTAACTTAACACTTCCAGCTCGAGTGTGTATATGTGAGTGTGTATATGAATGTATAAGGTATAATAAGATGCAGAGAGACAGATGAATAGAAGAGTGGAATGAAATAGAAATTCAGGGTGATACCAAGTACAAGTTAACCATTTTAATTTGATGGCCGATATTTTTACCCATAACTTTAACTCTATTTCTGTCTTATTATGAATTCTGTTTGCCATTGTGTAAATAATCATAATATAATAAAGTGTAAGTGCATGAGCTTGACCAGAGCCCATTTCGGAAAGTCACGTATATATACTTCTATGTAAAGTATAGTAAACCTTGCGATTTCATGATGTCACTAACTTTCATCACCACTTTTTAAAACAATGTGACGCCCAATCGTGTCATAAAGGAAGAAAGAGGTTTAGTCATATTTACCATGCTTTGACTGCAGTGTACCTCTGCACTGCTGTTTTGATGTTCTTTATTAGGATGACGTGCTGTTGCCCTTTCTGTGAAGATTTTAAAATATAAAACTGGAGTAGTTCCAACTGGATCATTCATTCAGAGTGGCAGCGTGGCACAGATTAAAGGCTAAAGATTCAAAGAAGGATTAACTGATTCCTGCAGTCCTGATTCCCGTTTAATGAGCTGTTATATTGTATAGCTATCTAGTATGTTTTGAAATACTTGAAACTGGATACATCTGTATTAGGCAGTAAACAACATTTCTTTCCTGTTCTTTCCTACTTTCTTGTTTGGAATGAATTATTAAATGAGATTTAATTTTTTGAAGTGTTGAATCAGTGGAAATATAGCTAATTTAGGGATGTCAAAATCATTGCGTTAATGCATGCAATTAATTAAATACTTTGTACATATGATGTCAGAAAACCCAAACATGCTAAATGCTTGACAGTCAGAGACTATTCTGAGTTTGGGCCGTCCCCTGACACTTTTTTTCCAATTTGAGTCTATAGCCTCCACAGAGACATAGAGACATATATATATATATAACTTTGATTATATTTGTATACATATTTACACATTTTATTTTTTATTTTGTTATTCTTTCTTTAAAAAATAGCTAAATGTAATGCATCAGCTACTGTACCAAAACTTTTGAGAATAATTAAGATAAAAATTTAAATTGATTGCCAGCCCTAATCTAATTATTTCATAATTTAATAATGTGAAATGACTTGAGTAGTTAAAAATACTTTTTTTCTTTTTTTTTTTCTTTTTTTTTTTCTCTCTCACAGGAATTGATCCCTGAGTTCTATTACCTCCCAGAGATGTTTGTCAACTCCAATAATTACAATCTGGGAGTGATGGATGATGGGACGGTGGTGTCAGATGTGGAGCTGCCGCCTTGGGCCAAGAGTCCTGAGGATTTCGTACGCATCAACCGACTCGTACGTTCACTCTTTGTGTCTCCATCTCTTTTCTTTCTCTCTGTCTCTCTCCATCTTTCTTTATCTCCCTTATTAAATTGCGGTTAAAGTGATGATTGCAAGTTGCTATGGCCGGAGTGTGTGTGTGTGTGTGTGTGTGCACGCTAACGCTGTGACCTGTTTTATGCTGATAATTACAACTCTGATATCAATCTGACTCAACCATTAATCATCTCTTTCTGTCTGTCTCTCTCTCTCTCTCTCTCTCTCTCTCTCTCTCTCTCTCTCTCTCTCTCTCTCTCTCTCTCTCTCTCTCTCACACACACACACACACACACACACACACACACACACACACACACACACACACACACACACACACACACACACACACACACACACACACAACCACAACCCCCTCATCTAATGTCACTGTTCTGACATGCACATAGATGTTCACACACTTTCACTAAGTCCTTGTGTAGAGTTGCACAGACTTTAGTTGTTTGATCACTATCAGGTGAAGTGCTGGTTGCTCTTTGATGTGTGTATGTGCTATAGGACATTAGTAGTCACAGGCGTACTGATTGCACTGTTTTGAGCAGCACCGGTGATGCATTAATTTGCTTTAAATCACAGACTTAAATAGCATGCCATTGCTACTGTGCAGTGTGTCAAGTGTTCTGACACAATCTAAACTAACTGCATGGGCAGCTTGTAACCTGTAATAAGTGCAGATTAATGGTGACATGAGATCCTTTATTGTCAAAGCTCTTATATCTTCAGGATAAGCTGTCATCCTCAGCAGTATCTGCAGATTCCCCTGCTCTGGTGTATTTTACTGTCTTGATATTGTGTTGCTTTTGCTTTCACTATGTTAGCAAATTAGGTCATGTACACAGTGAAAAGTTTTAGGAGTGACAGCTACATTTAAATATGGGTGTGACTGTGAAGACGACCATTGGATGGCAATATTCTCAATATTATTATTATTATTTTCATTTAAATTTCAGTGAAATAAATATCAGCAGGGATATTATTGACCGTTTTCTATTCATCATAGAATCCTGTAAATCATGTTTTCCTCAAAAATATTGAGGCACAGCTGTTTTCAACATTTATTATAATAAGATATGTTCACGAAACAGCCTATTAGAAAGATTTCTGAAAGATCATGACACTGAAGACTGGAGTAATGATGCTGAAAATGATGCTGAATATTCAGCTTTGCCGTCACATGAATGCATTATATTTGACAGTATATTAAAATAAAAGCATAAAAAATAGCATCTGGATTATCTATCCTGTATGGGCAGCTACTGTACTACCACAGCTAGCCAGCACTGATCCCACCCTACTTTCAACTGTTCTGACTATTCTTACCTCAAAACTGCTCTTAGATCAGCGTGATACCAACTCCTCTGTACTACCTATTATCCTATCAATTTCTGTAATACACTGTGCCTTACAATATGCAAATGATAGGTGATACAGCTGATGCTTCTGTAATCAGCTTCCACTTCCTTACTTTCCTGTATCAGGATTTATAAAACTGATCTCAGATCATTACAAAGGCTCACTTTTACTAACACTCAATTAAGCTCAATGTATAGAGCAACACAGTCCAGTGTGAAGATTTACTATTGATCTGAACAGCAGGAATCGAGTGAAGTAAATGGGCAGGCATGTAATGGAAATACCTTCCCTGTTAACCTACAGTGCTGTACATTGACCATTATAACATATTACATTACATCACCTTGACAAGCAAAGTTCATTATTAGTGTTCTAAAATTGTCTTCTAAAAGCTTGACAGTTTTTCTTTTTGTTGAATCAACTTTTTTTCCCACTTTCCAAACAGATACCGAAAAATTACAATTCTGAGATCAGAATGTTGATCTAAACCCAGTCTTAACACAAATTAAGATATTTTCAAAATTCTCTTATCTTTTTTTGTCCATCCATTGAAGGTCCTGTGACCTGTTTTATGGCGATAATTACAACACTGATATTAGTCTGACGCTTTCATTCAGTTCTTTCTGTGTCACACACACACACACACACACACACACACACACGTACACACGTTAGGTTCCGGTATCTTTATGGGGACTATAGACATAATTATTTTTATACTGTACATTAACCCTACCCCTAAACCTACCCATCACAGAAACCTTTTTGCATTTTTACATTTTCAAATAAGCATTATTTAGTATGTTTATTAATCCATTTCCCTCATGGGGACCGCTGGCTGGTCAGGTGATCTCAGGTTTTACTATTTGTGTGGGGACATTTGGTCCTCACAATGTAAGTTAAACAAGTACACACAAACCCCCTCATCCAATGTAACTGTTCTGACATCCACACTCTGTGTGTAGGGTTGCACAGACTTTAGCTGTTTGATCACTATCAGATGCTATTTGATGTGTGAATGTGCTATAAGAAAATAATTGTACTGTTGTGAGCAACACCCGTACTGTATTGATTGGCCTTATATCACAGACTCTGCCTGCCAACTAAGTGCATGGCACAGGTTTTATCCTCTTTTCCAGTAATTCGATTTTTCAGTTGATCTTTTCATAATCCAAAAAAATGCTCTGATCTCTTACCGCTCTCTGTCAGCAGTTATTTACATCCCAGAAACCTCTCATTAACATGATCTTCTCTCTCTCTCTCTCTCTCTCTCTCTCTCTCTCTCTCTCTCTCTCTCTCTCTCTCTCTCTCTCTCTCTCTCTCTCTCTCTCTCTCTCTCTCTCTCTCTCTCTCTCTCTCTCGTATGTGCGTGCGTGTGTGTGTGTGTGTAAAGTGGGCATGAGCACCGCTGATGACTTATAGCTGGCATTAGGGGATGTCAGCTGTTCTACTCTGCTACAATGGGCTACATTTGTAATGAGGGCGCATACTCAGTCAGAGACAGACACATGCAGCAGAGAGCTAATGGCCTGCTACACTCTTTAGCTCATCTGTCACTAATGGCCAGAAAACAGCATGGTGCACACACTTGGTCATTTATGTTGTATAGATGATTAACAGCTAATTAAACTGCAATCTGCACCAGTCACGCTAAATGCATGCTTGCAGAAATAACTGCACTCACCATTGGTACATACTGTTTTTGTGAGCGCCCATGTATCCTCAAAACAGCTAAATCATTTCCTCAACATAATGCAAAATAATCTGTTGGCTCAAACAAACAAAAGAAATAACACAATTTTTTGAGTTATGACAACTTCGAATGAAATTACTTTCAACCAACAAACTACATTAGAGGAACTTAATAATTTCTTAATAATTTAATTCAGTGAAAATCCACAGCTAGTATAGAACATGCTAATTAACTTATTTTGCATGTAAGTTTAATGAACAAGTCTATTTGTCACTGGCATTAGTGCAGTCATTGCTTATGGTCAATGTAGTTGTTTACATTCATGTATCTACTCTTCAGCACAATGGTAACCACAAAACTTCAATATAGTAGAAACTCATTTAAATGGCAAACATAACAGCATTAAACACTAACAGGTCTTTCCTTTCACTAAAAAAAATCCCATAAAATAACGCTTAATTTCAACATTTATTCTCCATATCTAGTCCTATGCAAAGCATGCTGGGAACTAGAAATCCACTGCCCAATTTCAAGTTATCAAGACAATTTTATTAAGTTACTACAACTTTTTTTAAATCAACGCAGAGATTTGAGTTTACATTACACACAATATTAAGTTAATCTAATGATCAACATTATTACTTCGACAGAACTCAACAAAATAATGTTTGCAACTTAAAAGGTTTAATTAAATCAATAAATCCCAATTTTTATCTTGCAACCATGCATTTAAGTTGTTAACAGTTCCCCTGAATAACTTTTCAGATAACTGATCTAGTCTTAATATGCTTCAACCTAAAATTACCCCAGAAATATGTCCCTAAAGATTCAGTTTCCTAACAATTCTGCTTTCTTATTGGTTCCATTATTGATTCAGAAGCAAATATATATATTTGTATTGCATTTATTGTCCTCCGCTGTCTGTTGCCAAATTATGATATCAGAATGGACCAGATATAAATATTATAAATAAATGTAATTCATTAATTTAAAAAAGCTTTTTAATTACTTTTCACAGATGTTTAGAGGTACCATAATTGCAATCCAGTAACTAGCCCTTACTATATATTAAATAAAAAAAATACCAAATACACAGACATTTTTTTTGAATCTGTCATTAATTCCTTCATTCACTTATTCATTTATTGAACTGGCTTATTTGTTGTCATTGGCTCATGCATTGGTCATAAGAGTCATTTGTTCTGGAATCAGACTACACTGGTTGTGCTATGTGGTTTTGATTCGCTAAAAAGCTTTAGGTCAAAATATAAATTTATTCTAGAATTGTTCTTCAGTGGTCATACTGTATATTTTATGCTGTAGATTCAGTCGCGTTTTATGCCACTAATGGGCAGTCATTTCCAGTTTTACATGGAGCAGGTCACCATGTAAACATCATATGACAAATTGAACACTACTCACTTTAACTTAGTAACCCCATGTTGTTGGACACCTTTGCTCACAGAATTAATTAATTATGGCTGGTTGCTAATACTGTAGCTTTTAAAATCACATCACCATCTGAAAACTATTTTCTACTTTTGCGTGATGCTGAATCCATGTCACGTGAAGTCAGTAGATAGATCCAAGATTACTACAGTACCATATTGACCAGCATAACATAAACTCAAACACTGAGTGCACCTTTGAAGCTGTAATGTGTAATTTCTGAAGCACCAAACGTAAATATAATGAAAAATAATGTGTTTTAAGCAAGCTTCCCAAATAATGTGTTTCCCCTACTCTCTCCTAGCTGTCATTTCCCTGGGTCCTGTTATGTTAAACGGTGCTCACACTGGGCAGGATTCATGATTATTGTAAATACATAAGTTTAAGGATGTGTGTTGGATTAAATGGGTATTTTAAACAGACCCCTGCTGAAATAAAAACATTTCCCTCTCTTCTCATAGAC